CAGGAGACTCCCAGGAGGCCCAAAAGAAGCCCCAGAAGGCTTCAAACATGTCTCCCAGGCGCCCCCGAACGGCCTCTCAACAGACCCCAAGAGGCCCCCCAAAGAAGCATCTTGACGACGACTCTATTTCGCCCCATCGAGAGACGACCCCCAGGGAACTGCTTCACCATCAAAACTCCCCACGCAACGCGTCCGAACGACACCCGCCCCCAAGAGCGCAACATGGGCAACGAACACACAGACAAAAACCAGCGATGCCATATCACGGGCCGGCGGAATGAGCGAAGCGATTCAATATGATTTTTCACACATGATGAATGTATGACTAAATCTATGCATGAACTCATCGCTGCTTTTAATACTTAAATCCCTGCATGTTTGATACATGATCCGCATGCGGAGCATGTATGAAAAACGGCACTGTACGCAAGACGTTCGCAGACCTGGTGATGGTTTTATTCGCAGACAGGGCAGCTTCTAATACATAGGATTTAAAACAAAAAACAAAAAAAAGATTCTTACCTAACAGCGAAGACTGATAGGTTTCTTGTGGGTGCAAAAGAAAACATCTTGACTCCCCAGGGGGGTCTGGGCGGATGCCAGGGGGAATCCGGGGACTCCCCAGGACTTCCCAGGGGAGTCTGGGCGAGTGCCGGGGAGGATCCGGGGACTCCCCAGAACAACATTCCCAGGCCATATTTTGAATGCCCGGAGCCAACTATAGGCCACTACGTGTTCTTCGTCTTCCCAGAACACCATTCCCAAGCCACATGTTGAATGCCCGGAGCCAACTGTAGGACACTTCGTGTTCTTCGTCTTCCCAGAACACCATTCCCAGGCCACATTTTGAATGCCCAGAGCCAACCGTAGGCCACTTCGTGCTCTTCGTCTTCCCAGAACACCATTCCTGTACCATATTTTGATTGCCCGGAGCCATCTGTGGGCCACTTCGTGATCTTCGTGTTCCCAGAACACCAGTCCTGTGCCATATTTTGAATGCCCGAGCTGAGGCAGGCTGAGGCCGAGGCAGGCTGAGGCCGAGGCAGGCTGGGCTGAGGCTGAGGCACGCCGAGGTAGGCTGAGGCTGAGGCTGAGGCAGGCTGAGACTGAGGCTGAGGCAGGCTGAGGCTGAGGCTGAGGCTGAGACAGGCTGAGGCTGAGAGGCTGACGCTGAGGCTGAGGCAGGCTGAGGCTGAGGCTGAGGCCGAGGCAGGCTGAGGCTGAGGCTGAGGCAAGCCGAGGCAGGCTGAGGCTGAGAGGCTGACGCTGAGGCAGGCTGAGGCTGAGGTTGAGGCTGTGGCTGAGGCTGAGGCAAGCTGCGGCTGAGGCAGGCTGAGGCTGCGGCTGAGGCAGGCTGAGGCTGAGGCAGGCTGAGGCTGAGGCTGACGCAGGCTGAGGCCGAGGCAGGCTGAGGCTGAGGCCGAGGCAGGCTGAGGCTGAGGCTGAAACTGAGGCAGGCTGAGGCATCCGTAGGAATCCATAGGAATCCTTAGGAATCCCTAGGAATCCCTAGGAATCCTTAGAAATCCGTAGGCATCCTCAGGAATCCGTAGGCATCCTTAGGAATCCGTAGGCATAGTTAAGCATCCTCAGGAATCCTCAGGAATCCTTAGGATTCCCTAGGAATCCTTAGGAATCCCAAGGAATCCCTAGGAATATGGATTCCTAAGGATTCCTAAGGTTTCCTAAGGATTCCTATGGATTCCTAAGGATGCCTTAGGAATCCCTAGGAATCCTTAGGATTCCATTGGATCCTAAGGCCGTTGCCACTGCGACTGTCATTGCGAATGCGACTGCGACTGCGAGAACAGCAGAATTCTACAACTGGATTCTCACCTGAATCTTAAGGGGAATGCTTCCAGATATGCTTATACACATCGCTGTTAGGTTGCTTTGCAGGGATAATTAATACATGATTAATGCATGAATAGGTTTGCGCATGAACTCATCGTTGTCTTTACCTAACAGCGAAGACTGATAGGTTTCTAGTGGGCTAAAAAGAGAGCATCTTGACTCCCCAGGGGGGTCTGGGCGGATGCCGGGGGGAATCCGGGAACTCCCCGGGACTCCCCAGGGGGGTCTGGGCGGGTGCCGGGGAGGATCCGGGGACTCCCCAGAACAACATTCCCAAGCCACATTTTGAATGCCTGGAGCCAACTGTAGGACACTTCGTGTTCTTCGCGTTCCCAGAACACCATTCCCAGGCCACATTTTGAATGCCTGGAGCCAACTGTAGGCCACTTCGTGTTCTTCGTCTTCCCAGAACACCATTCCTGTACCATATTTTGATTGCCCGGAGCCATCTGTAGGCCACTTCGTGTTCTTCGTCTTCCCAGAACACCAGTCCCAGGCCACATTTTGAATGCCCAGAGCCAACTGTAGGCCACTTCGTGTTCTTCGTCTTCCCAGAACACCATTCCTGTACCATACTTTGATTGCCCGGAGCCATCTGTGGGCCACTTCGTGATCTTCGTGTTCCCAGAACACCAGTCCTGTGCCATATTTTGACTGCCCGAGCTGAGGCAGGCTGAGGCTGAGGCAGGCTGAGGCCGACGCAGGCTGAGGCAGAGGCTGAGGCACGCCGAGGCAGGCTGAGGCTGAGGCTGAGGCAGGCTGAGGCTGAGGCAGGCTGAGGCTGAGGCTGACGCAGGCTGAGGCCGAGGCAGGCTGAGGCTGAGGCCGAGGCAGGCTGAGGCTGAGGCTGAGCCCGAGGCAGGCTGAGGCTGAGGCTGAGGCAAGCCGAGGCAGGCTGAGGCTGAGGCTGAAGCTGAGGCTGGCTGAGGCTGAGGCTGAGGCTATGGCTGAGGCTGAGGCAAGCTGCGGCTGAGGCAGGCTGAGGCTGAGGCTGATGCAGCCTGAGACTGAGGCAGGCTGAGGCTGAGGCTGAGGGCAGGCTGAGGCTGAGGCTGAGGCTGATGCAGGCTGATGCAGGCTGAGGCAGGCTGAGGCTGAGGCTGAGGCTGATGCTGAGGCAGGCTGAGGCTGAGGCAGGCTGAGGCTAAGGCTGAGGCAGGCTGAGGCTGACGCAGGCTGAGGCTGAGGCCGAGGCAGGCTCAGGCCGAGCAAGGGTGAGGCTGAGACTGAGGCTGAGGCTGAGGATGAGGCCGAGGCAGGCCGAAGCTGAGACAAGGTGAGGCTGGATGGGGGGGGAGGGGAGGGGGGGGGGGGAGGAGGAGGAGAGGCTGAGGCAGGCTGAGGCCGAGGCAGGCTGAGGCCGAGGCAGGCTGAGGCTGAGGCTGAGGCTGAGGCAAGCCGAGGCAGGCTGAGGCTGAGGCTGAGGCTGAGGCTGACGCAGGCTGAGGCTGAGGCTGACGCAGGCTGAGGCCGAGGCAGGCTGAGGCTGAGGCTGAGGCAGGCTGAGGCTGAGGCCGAGGCAGGCTGAGGCTGAGGCTGAGGCAAGCCGAGGCAGGCTGAGGCTGAAACCGAGGCAGGCTGAGGCATCCGTAGGAATCCATAGGCATCATTAGGAATCCCTAGGAATCCTTAGGAATCCGTAGGCATCCTTAGGGATCCGTAGGCATAGTAAAGCATCCTCAGGAATCCTTAGGAATCCTTAGGATTCCCTAGGAATCCTTAGGAATCCCAAGGAATCCCTAGGAATATGGATTCCTAAGGATTCCTAAGGTTTCCTAAGGATTCCTATGGATTCCTAAGGATGCCTAAGGATACCTTAGGAATCCCTAGAAATCCTTAGGATTCCATTGGATCCTAAGGCCGTTGCCACTGCGACTGTCATTGCGAATGCGACTGCGACTGCTAGAACAGCAGAATTCTAAAACTGGATTCTCACCTGAATCTTAAAGGGAATGCTTCCAAATATGCTTATACACATCGCTGTTAGGTTGCTTTGCCGGGATAATTAATACTAAATCCCTGCATGTTTAATACATGATCCGCACGCGGAGCATGTACTAAAAACGGCACTGTACGCAAGACGTTCGCAGACTTGGTGATGGTTTTATTCGGCGTTTCGACATTGGGCGGCAAGGGGGGGGGGGCTGGCTCTAGACCTCTGCGTCGCGCGACAGTCTGCAAGAGTGCGGCCTCTAGGAGAGGCTCCACCCGCTCGAAAGAGGCGCCAAAAAACAGCCAAGATCTACTCCAGGGGGGGGAGGGAGGGGGGGGGGCCCGCGCCGACTGGCAAGAGAATGAATAAAGAAACGCTCACCTGCGAACGTTCTGCGCACTTTGTGCTTGACTCGGCGTGGAAGTCCATTTTGGGGCGAATCACTTCCGTAGTCGATCCCTTATCGGGGGCGTCCAAGGAGTGGGGCGTCCAACACGGGAGGGCGCAAATCATGGCCAGCGGCACGTGCGCGGCCCAGGGGGGGCCCCGCCGCCTTCTGAGAGGGCATTATCCCTGGCACTTACCTCCCTCGCTGGACGCCGATCTTTGCCACCCACGATCTCTGCCGCCCCCGATCCCCCGACCCCACTCTCTGCCGCCCCCGACCCTCATATAGCCCACGGGAGAACAGTGCATCGTGTCCAGGGCCGCCGATGGTCCATGCATTCGGCGAAGCTTCCCGTGCGAATACGTGTCATAGCCACCCCTGGGCTATTCGCCCCTATCGTCGCCGCCAAGATCGAGCAGAGACCGACAGTCCCGGCATTCCTATAGGCTTACCACGACATGCTCTTAGAACCCATAACTAGTCTGAGAACAGGGACTATGTTCTTCGAGCATAAACCCATTGTGCTAAAACAAGACGGTATCAGCCAGAAGTGTTATGATGACGACGACGATGACGATGCTTGTGAAATGCTAAGCGCACCTTGTGCCCGTGACTATGGCATCGGGCTCGCCCAGCATTTTGGCGAAGCTGGGCTGCAGACTTGGTGCCTACGGTCATTGAGCCCACATGACTTGGTGGGCCCATAGGCAAACCAAAGCTCTGCCACTGCTCGGCGATCGTCGGTTCCTCGAAGAGCGACCCCGCCGCAGCACCCCGCGCCGCGCGCACGGCGGGGCCCCGCCGCTGCCCCCCCCCCCCCGCGGCCTGCTGCGTCAGCGCGACCACGCTGGCCCTCGTGTCCCTCCGCAGCGGGGCCTGCGC